AGACTGACTGGGATGACTCAACCAAGACCGGATTATCGATCGATGCATAGTTGTGTGGGTGAATGAGTGGTCGGACGTGCAGTCGTGCTTATGGGTGACGTGCTCAGCTCGACGGTTGAGAACGTGTGCAGCCGTGCCATGACGATCTTCTAATGGATTGAGGCGTACGATGGGTGGGTGGGTGTGCAGACTGGGATGGCCGAGAGTCTTATCTCCACCATGAGCGATGGCATCAAACCAGTCGGCCGGCCAACAGGATTCAAATAGACACAGAGACTACCACTACTATGCTGCCCGCGTGTATCGACCGTCCTTGATATACGCACACACGTGACGTAATCAAAGCAATGCATGTTGTCTGTCTGCCTCCCTCCCCTCGCCACCTCCCTTCGCCTCAAACATTCCCAGTCGGGGTTTTCGCGAGTCAAAGCGTACGACAATGTGGGTAAGGCTCATTCACGCGGTTCATGTCGTGCCGATAACCAAAACGATTAGTCAAGGTCAATGGGTCCTGGCCCTTCTCTAGGGCTGGGGGGAGAGGATGGGTGCGCGAGATGGTGGTAGAGGAAAACGACCAGCGCATTGCAACGACTGCGCTGACTCAACCTTGGGTAACGTGTCTGTGCGCGAATAGGTCATGTGGAGTACATGAATGCATTGTAGTCCCGACCCAGTCAGCGTGCAATCGAAACCACGAACTGTGGGGCATGAATAAACGCATTCGCCTTATCATGTAAACCAGAGGTCGTGATTCCAATGACCGGAGGGGATAGCAAAACCGGATTTGAAGTGTGTGCGTGTAGGCACACGTATGTGCAAAGCATAGTAACAGAGGTCACTTTCCGCTCTTGGGACACTAGAGAAAAGTGGCCGTTGAAAGTTGCAAAAGTGATTCGTCAAACTTTTATCAATGGGAAATGAGTCGAGAACAAGGAAGACGGAAACTGAAAAGGTATCACTAATCTTCAGGTTGACCCTGGATATCAAAGGTATGCATTGGTAAAAGCAAAAAAGTTAGTCACAAGCTGATCTTTGGTAACATAACCACCATAAATGGTATACATAGTGAACCACAAACAATTCAAACAATTACCGATTGGTGTTTGAACTGTAGCAGTTGGGGTGAGGGGAAGTTGTGTTGGTCTGTACCCTCCGTTCTCTCTATGCGTTCACCACAATCAGCATCTCACCGGCATAGCTTTACGATTTCAGAATGTTATGAACGAGTTGAAGTGCTAAGCACTAAACAAAGTCGTGTGACATCATCAGAGAGTCTAGCAATGATCAACACAACCCGATTATCCCTTTTGTTCTGGCTACGAAGTAGGTGTTTTCATGTCACCGGTCAGAAACCAAATGGTTGCATTGGTAACCTCGTGTGTTTGGAAGATTTATCGAGCATTTATCTCGGGCATACTAGTAAAAAAGAATGTGTGAAAGTACAAATGATGGTCGAATCAATTGCACGAGCGAAATTTTAAACCCGAATCGGTGAACCATAATTGTTCTCTACCGAGCACAAGAATACTGACTTCCGACTTCCGCATTATGCATCCAATGTCTGTTGATTGCAAAGCTACACACGTGCCTGGGTTACACAGTACTGACAGATAACCACGATATTATACTATCCATTGTTGGGCTGCTCAACTTATCGGTGTTCCCCAGAATTGAGTTAATTATGCTCGTGATTCGTCACTGGGTCTTTGTGAGTATGATCTTCACTCTGTGGTATCTTTCATCATCACACTTTGCGTTGTGCGGTACAAACTTTGTTTAGCGAATTCCTAATTATTTTCAGAGGGATAGTCAAAATGTTTGTTTGTATGTGAAACAACTGATCAACGTTTAATGACAGGGATGGATATTAGATAGAGTTGTCAGCAAGGGCATGTAATGTATGAGACTTACCGTCCCCTATCCATAGTTTTGAGCATTCACAGAATCAGTGAATATGTACACTGCTGACGATTCATGATCGACTATTTCAAGTCAATTTAAGTGAAGAAGCGACTCAAATTTGTTGTATGTTCACGGTCTTTTAGTGGAAATTCGGAGACTGCGAAATGAGCGCACCTTATGCAACTCCATCTCAAAGCACCGGTGAATTCCTAAACAGAATGCTCCGAGTTGTTGCACACTACTTACTGGGGGTTCTTTCACTGATCCCGATCCGGTTGACATTGATGTGTAACGACCACAAAAAAACCCAGTTGAATTCAAATCGTTTTCGGATTTTTACTTTACAGAGCAATACGTGGTTAATGCTTTGATTGAAGGCTCGCTCAAGTGATAGGAGACGATTGCATGATTATT